CCAGCCCTGGACTTCCCATAGAGTTCTCTCAGACCTCGTCTTCCCAGTGCCCGCTCCTGCTCGCCTCTGCTCTTGGGAACCCACCCCTCTCTCAGCCTGACTTCCTGGGTGTCCTTGCTCTTCTCTCACTCCCGCCTCTGGAACCCTCGGCTCCTCCTGTGGCATCTAGGTGTCAGGAAGCTTGTGGGGCTGCTGCTGGGGGAGGGMCAGGGAGGGCCAGGTGGTGGTGGTGAGCTGGGCCCAGGGGAAGGCTGGACAGGGCCCTGGGCACTGGGCTGCACAGCAGGCCGCCTAGGGTGGGTGTGCTCTTGCTCAAGCCGCTCAGCCCCAGTGCCCCACCCCAGCAGGTGGTGGCATGGTCCAGCTTCTGGGGGTGGCGCTCACTTGCTTCTCTTTGCTCTGTAGATGCCCTGACTCACCCGCCGGCCTACCCACCACCTCCAGTGCCCACGCMCAGGAAGCCAGCCTTCTCTGACTTGCCCCGTGCCCATTCCTTCACCTCCAAGAGCCCAAGTCCCCTGCTGCCACCCCCGCCCCCTAAGCGTGGCCTCTCAGATGCTAGTCCAGCTCCTGAAGACACTAAGAGGGACCCACTGGGCCTGAGGCGGGCTGAACCTGGCCTCAGGGCGCCTGCCACTTCCCGAAGGATGAGTGACCCTCCACTGTGCAGCGCGCCTGCTGGGCCTGGCCTCCGGAAACCGGAGCCCTGGACCCCTGGCCATGGGGCYAGCCCTGCCTCCAGCTCTGCCACCACGGCCATTGCCACCTCCAGGAACTGTGATAAGCTCAAGTCCTTCCACCTGTCTCCCCGGGGGCCACCCGCAGCGGAGCCTCCACCTGTGCCTGCCAACAAGCCCAAGTTTCTCAAGATCGTGGAGGAGGCCCCCCCCAGGGAGACAGCCAGACCTGGACTCCTTGTGCCCACTGTGGCTCCCAGGCCTCCTGTGCTGAAGCTGTCTATGCCTGAGCCCACAGCTCGGCCCACGGTGCTGCCCAGGCCAGAGAAACCGCTGCTCCCCCACCTCCAGTGAGTCTGGCTGCAGTGGCGCCCTGCTCCGAGCTGCTGGGACCCCTCCCCAATCCAGCCTGGTCTCTGGCCAGTGCCCTRCACCCCCCAACTGCAGTCAGCCCTGGTGGGTGGCAGGTGCCAGAATAGGAAGGCCTGTGTAGGCAGAGCGGCCTCCCTTCTGGCTGGCCCTGGCTGCCCTTGTGAAACACATGGCCTAGTCAGGGGGCCTGGAGCAGCAGCTCCAGGGTCAGTGGTCAGTATGGCTTTGGGGATGCAGGTTCCATGGAGCTGCTGCCATGCAGTCAGCTGAGTGATGGGGAAGGTGGCTCTGAGCCACCAGGCCAGCATGCTCCACAGCCCCGTCCTGGACCTGGGCCCCGCCCTGTTTGGTTCTGGGCGTCTCCTGGCTCCAGAGCCAGCAGCACTGCCTTTGTGTCCTTCCCAACTGGGAAATGCCTGGAATGTGGAGCTGTCCTGAGTCAGCCTGGAGGCCTGCTGGCATGCCTTCTACCTGTCGCTGGATAGTGCTAGGGCCTACAGTGTCCCCCATTTGGTCACCAATGGCCCCTGGTCAAAGGTGTCTGGGACCCAAGGTGAGCTTTGTACCTCACTTGGTGGGTGAAGGCCCTGGGATGCCCTTACTGGCTCACCCTGAATGCCCTTGACCACCAACCCAGGGTTGTGTTGGCATCTCTGAGATCCATGCTGCTGGTGGGAAAGTTTCTGGGAGACCCCTCGCCACACTTGCAATTCTCTCTCATGATTGGCCACAAAGGAACAGATAGTCAGCTCTCAGTCATTGTGCCCAGACCTCAGTCTGGCAAGGGCTATGGGTTACTGTCCAGGACCTTGCCCATAGCCAGCAACCTGACCTGGCATGTCCTCGTGGTCTTCTGGCCATTTGGGGCCTCCTTGGTTTCCCTAAAACCCTGGAGGTTTGGCTGAGGACCACCTGGCTACCTGTGGGGTGTGCAGGGCTCTTAATGCCTGTCCACATCTGTCCACTTCCCTGTGGCTCTGAGAAGAGTGTGACTTGACCAAGGTCACAGAGCCAGCAGCAGAGCTGGGCCTCAGTGATGACCCGTCCACTCGTCCACTTGTCCACTGGAAACATCTGTGTTTGAGTGCCCAGGATCCTGTCCCCGTAAGGACCCACTGGCTCTGACCTTCTCCTGGGGCTTCCAGGCCTCAGGCAATGCTTGCTACCCCAGGCAGTGAGGACTGGCCTCTTGAACCGGGTCCTGTACCTTATGGCCATGGAGGCAGGGACACTGTGGATTCTAATTTTGCTGTCTGCCCTCCTGTGGGGGCTGCATGAGCAGTGGACCAGGGGCAGCCAGTTGGGTGGGAGGGTGATGTGGTCTGCCTTCCTGTTCTGCCCCATCCCAGGCGATCACCCCCTGATGGGCAGAGTTTTAGGAGCTTCTCCTTTGAAAAGCCAAAGCGACCCTTGCAGGTGGACACTGGCGGGGAGGACTCAGATGAGGACTACGAGAAGGTAAGACTGAGTGGATAGAGGGCAGGGAGCTGCAGGCTGGGCGCCCCTCGGCCTCCTGAGCAGAGCCCCCAGGACTCTGGAGCTGAGGGGACAGGACCCTGCAGAGCCCTAGGTGGGAACCATTTGGGGGAGAGGTAGTGTGGGTCTCCCTGTCCTCTGCACACAGCCCTGTTGACCTCTCCAGGTGCCACTGCCCAGTTCGGTCTTTGTCAACACCACAGAATCCTGCGAAGTAGAAAGGTCAGTGTGAAGCCCCTCTTGTACTTGTATGAAGGTAGGTCCCCTGCTTCTCGGTCCACTCTTTGGACAGTCACTTGACCAAGTGCATGGTGCCAGGTGCAGCAGAAAACCTGAGGGACTCTTAGCTCTGTCCCTCCCACTGGCTGTACTGGCCTCTGGGCATCCGCTGCTCTCAGGACTCAGGACAGAGGCCCACGGTGGTCAGAGGGCAGAAAGCCGAGCTGTGGGGGTGCGGCTGGAGGGGCCCCACCAACATGCTGTCCTATTTTAGGCTGTTCAAAGCCACGAACCCCCGGGGAGAGCCCCAGGACGGACTGTACTGCATCCGGAACTCCTCCACCAAGTCGGGGAAGGTGGGTCGCCCCATAGGGACTCGGGCACTGTGCACCCAGCTGATGGGGGCCCAGGTGTCTACAGTTCATAGGTCACCTCCCCATGCAGCCGCTTTCTGAATTCTGTAGGGTCCCAGCAGCACCCTCCATCTATTCTCTGGAACTAGATGCCCTCTAAAGATCAGAGGCCGTGATGTCTCCTTCTAGCAGGGCTGTGGAGGGAAGGGGAGGGCTGGGCTGCCAGGACTCCAGGGATGGGCCGGGGTTTGTGTACCCAGAGTGGGGGGGAAGCCACTGGGTGGCAGGAGTGGCAGGGGTCCTCACTCCCTGTGCCTGTCAAGGGTGTGGTGCTCCACATCACTGAGCTGCACTAGCCCCATGTGTCAGAGAGAGGTGGGTCCCGGTGGACTGGGTACCCCTGATGCCCAGTTCTCACCAGGGGCTGAGAGCAGGAGGAGCCCCTGCTCAGGTGACCGCAGCTGGGCAGGGTATCTGCAGCCCCTCCCACCTCCCTCCAAGGGCTTCAGCACCCAGGCCTGGTGGTCTCGCCCACCTGCTCTGGCTCCCGMGATGGGTCCTGCACCCTCTGGTGAGACGTCTGCTTGACACTGCCCTCCCTGTAGGTTCTGGTTGTGTGGGACGAATCCTCTAACAAAGTGAGGAACTACCGCATCTTTGAGAAGGTGAGGGGCTCTGAGGGTAGGTTGGGGACCGTGGCCCCAGGGCTCGGCTGGCGTCAGGCAGTGGGTGCACTGAGACTGGCACTGCAGGGAATCAGCCCTCCCTCCCCACTGCACAGCCTCCCTTCTCTCCTTGCCCAGCTTTGTCCGCAGGGACCCTGGAAGGGCTGGTTTATTCACAGATCTTTCCTGCAGTGCCTGGGTGCAGGCTCTGTTTGGGTCACTGGGGACGGGAGAGTGCGGCTTGAGCTTGGGGAGCACAAGCGTGATGGGGCAGCAGGAGCAGGCCCGACTGTCCTTACTGCTGACTGCCTCATTTTACATCCGGGGCTTGGGGCAGAGGAGACAGGCTGAGCGTGGGGGACTGGGCCCCCCTAACCCTGCTGCCTTCCGCCCGCAGGACTCTAAGTTCTATCTGGAGGGCGAGGTCCTGTTCGTGAGTGTGGGCAGCATGGTGGAGCATTACCACACCCACGTGCTGCCCAGCCACCAGAGCCTGCTGCTGCGGCACCCATATGGCTACACCAGGCCCAGGTGACACCTGCCCCGCACGGCTGCTGGGCAGAAGCAGCCAGAGGGCCACGACCCTGTACCACACAGAGGGAGCCTCACCTGCATGGGAAGAGGAGCTGGAGTGAGGCTGTGCTTGATGCGAGGCTCAGACGCCCGGTGAAATTTGGCCAGGCTCCACYCAGCGGTTCTGGGCTGGATCAGGACCCAGCTCCAGAGGACTCTGTGTCTCTCCAGGCTGACACACCCCGCTTCCTCCTTCCCAGGAACCCAGGCTCCAGGACCACGCCCTGCCTGGGCTTCTAGGACTAGAAGTCTGGTCCCACTGCACACCACCCTGCAGTGGGCTGGGAGCCAAGCAAGGCTGGGGCAGTTGGGTGGGACTGGGGCTGGCCCTAGACTCTCCTGGGAAGAGTAAGACGCAGGCTCTGGGAGGGAACCTTGCCTCCCAATAAATCAGAAATGATCTTTGCCTCRGTGACCAGGGCTTGATTGGGAAGGAGTGGGGTAGCTGCTTACTGCACACCCACCGACATCCATGTGGGGAGTGCTAAGAGGTGGTCTCCCTGTCTGCTAAAACATAGGTCACTGAGTGACTTGCCAGATTGCACAGGGTCACAGGTCAGGACTCAGCTGGGGCAGTCTTGGCTTGGAGCYGCCACTGTTTCCATGGGTCACACCCAGGACAATGGGGCTCCAGAGCTAAAGGGCCCCCATATATATAGTTGGCTCATTCTCTGCATTGACAGATGGCTATGAGTGCCTCCTGGGCGCCTGCCTCAGTGCTGGAGCCGGGTGCACTGTGAGCAGGCCCCAGGCTCAGGGTGGCCACGCTCACAGCCCAGCAAGGGGACAGCTGGATGTGAGGTGCAATGCAGTATCCAGGGCAGTGGGATATGCAGTGGCTATGAGCTTGGAACCCCATAGGTGCTCCAGGAAGACTTGGAGGAAGTGATGGCCACTATGGGGCAGGAAGAGTTGCCTCTGAGTAGGCCAAAGAGAGGTGGGGACAGTGGCATCCAGATGCCCAAGTCCTCTGAGCAACACCCCACTCAGGTGCAGCCTTCATCAGTACCCTGTTTCTTCAGGCCCTGCTCCCGGGCACAGCCTTTCCAGGATGGCTTTTTGTGAAAACCAACACAGTTGGGAGTCGAGGTTGGCAGGGCCCCAGGTCATCTGGTGCCCACTTGCTTCCCCTCACATTGGGTCATAAGGTTGAGAGGTAAAACCCAAGTCGAGGACTATACTGTGCCCCAGCCAGTGACTGCCCAGAGTTGGCTCTTTGTTTGGGTCCCCAACCCCTGCTATATTCTGGGGGACGTGGTCACCTGTCTCTGAGGCAAACTACATTGGAGGTGCTGAGCTGAATACTTGACATAATTGGCTTGGAGAAGCAGTTTCTGTTGTCCCCTTTGGCAGCTGAGAGAACCAAAGTCAGGCCCAAGGTCAAGGCCCAGCCATGGGCACTCACTGTGGTGGTCCTGTCTGCCTCACTGCTCAGGCCAAGGCCCGCCTGGCTCCCCAACACCCCTCGTGCCTCCCGCAGTCACTGTGGGGTGTCCTCAGCTCTGTCTCCCACAGCYGGAGGGTGCCCTCTGCCACCCAGGGGACCAGGCTCTGGTGAAGCACTCCTGCTGCTGCTTTGCCCTGTGGTCCCAGGCTGTGAGGACAGCCTCAGGAGGCCCAGGCCCTGCCCTCGGGCAGCCCCATTTCCCCACTCTGCTGACAGACATGGGGGCTGGGAGAGAGTGACTGTCTTGCCCACCATCGGGATGTGTGCTAGGACTTGGGAAAGGGGCCTGCACCCTTTTGGAAGTTTCCCCAAGCCAAGGATTAAGCCGGTTTTGTTTCCCAATATTGATCTGTGGGGTGTGGGGAGCCCTCTATGCCTTCTGTGTTTTAACTGAGATTTTTATTGTTAAAAGAGAGATTCTTTTTTATTTTACTGTTGTTATTTACAATGCTAGGATTGAACCCAGGGCCTCACATGCTAGGCAAATGCTTTCCCGCTACACCCGGCCCTAGAGACATTTTCAAAATCAGAAGAGACCTCTCACAGATCTGAGTTGCTCCCAGTTCCCACCCAACTCCCAACTCCGGGTCATGGTGTGGGGAGCGCCCCCTGCTGGTAGGGGCTCAGACTACAGCTCCAAAGGTTCTGCGTTCTAGGCTGGGTGGGGTAGCTCTAGGGGGCAAGGGAGGACAGGACAGTRAACGAGGCACGGAGCCTCAGTGCTCATTGAGGCAGACAGTCAGCCTGAGGCCCAGAAGGAATGAGCCTTTTGAGAGTGACTGAAGCCCTGGAGACATCAAGGTCACACAGGGATCATGGGCAGAACTGAGACTTGAACCAAATCCATGTGTCTCTAGAGGTGGGAGATGGRGAGGGCCTCAGCCTGTCTCTGGCTGTGACCATCTGCACGTCCTAATCCCTGCACCAGGTGGCAGGGAGGAGGCAGGCACCCCTGGAAGTGTCTGAGATCCCTCTTCAGACTCCTGTTAGCTGGAGGGAGATTCTAGAGGCACTGTCTACCCTCTTTTCAGACTCTCAGTGAGCTCTGCAGGAAACTACAGGCCCTGGAGGCTGGCCAACAGCTGCCCTTGCATTGATCTCTGGTTTTATCCCTGGCCACGCCCTGACCTGTTCCAAGCTGAGGCTACACCTTTCCTCCTTTATTTCCTGTGGAATAAAATATACAGAAAATTATACAGAAGTGTACAGCCAACACATAGATCTGTGCAACTTCCAGGGAACAGCCCCCAATGCCAGCGCCCCCGCCCCTTGCCCCCATGCCCTCTCTATCCCAACACCTGCCCTTGCTTAGGGAAGTCCGCCTTCTTGTTTTTCTAAAAAGCATTCACCACAGATTATGCGCCCAYCCAGCCCCCTCCTGCCTTCTTATTATACAGAATGGAGTGTAGGTGAGCTTTGGCCTTCGGCTCCGGCCATCCTGATCTGTAAGGTTCATTCATGTCACTGCGATTGTTCAGGCCACTGCAGCACACCTGTGGCTCACAGGTCCCTCTTAGTGTAGATGGATGGACATTGGGTTGTTTCRASTTTGGGGTAATTACAAATGCTGCAACAGTCTTACCTACGTCCTGTGCAAAGGAGTTGGAATTTCTCCAGGATATGAAGATCTTTCACTGTTGTTTCAGGATACTGTTCTAATTCACCAACTGGAAAATAATCTCCTTGGCTTCACATCCCTGCCAACACTTGATACTGCCAGACTTTTCATTTTCACCAGTCTGGTATGTGTATAACTTTGGCTCTTATTTGCACTTAGCTATCTACTAATGAGATTGAGAACATTATCATGTATTTTTTAGYCATTTTAATCTTGTCCATGAAGTGTCTATTCAAGGCTTTTGCCCATTATTTATATGCTTTATATGTTTGTCTTTTTTTTAAACTAATCTATAGGTATTTTTTTTTTTAAATTTARTTGCTGATAGACCTTTATTTTATTTATTTATGGTGCTGAGAATCAAACCCAGTGTTTTATACATGCTGGGTTAGTGCTCTGCCACCAAGCCCCCGCGCAGCCCAGCCCAGGCTCAGCCACCCAGGCTGGGCCCAGAACTCTAACCCTAACCCTAACCCTAACCTCAGCCACCGAGCCCCTCCCCCGGCATTCTTCACATAGTCTTCATGTAGTGATGTGCTRCAAATATTTTCCCCAAGCCATTGGCTTATTTTGACTGATTATGTTTTTGTTTTTTTTTTTTTTTTCCTTTTTGGTACTGGAGATTGAACTTAGAAGTGCTTTACCACTGAGTCACATCCCCAGCCCTTTTTGAGACAGGGTCTTCTTAAGTTGCTTAGTCCTCATTGAGTTGCTGAGGCTGATTCTGAACTTGGAATCCTCCTGCCTCAGCCTCCTGAGTCTCTGGGATTACAGGCATGTGCTATCACATTTGGCCCAGACCCTATAAATTTTAAAACTAACTTGTCCATTCCAATAGCAACAACCCATTGGCTTTTTTTTTTTTTTTTTGGTAGTACTGGGGATTGAAACTGGGGATGTTTCATCACTGAGCCATACCCTAGTCCTTTTTAATAATTTGAGACAGGTTCTTATAAAGTAGCTGAGGGTTTTGCTAAATTGCCGAGCCTGGCCTCGAATTTGCAGTCCTCCTGCCTTAGCCTCCCAAATTGTTGAGATTATAAGCATATATTTTGACACCCAGCCAAATTTTGATTGGAAATAATAATGTATTCCATTATAGCTATGAATCAGCTTCAGGAAAATTGACAACTTTATAATCTTGAGTCTTCAGATACATGAATGTGATCTATCTTCATTTGTGTCTTCTTTAAGGTTTGTCAATAGGATTTCGTAATTTTGTTAGTTTAATATTGCTTATATTTTTTTACTAAGTATGCTTTGATGGTACTTTATATTTCCTTTAGTCTATTGTAAAATGTGTATTTTCTTAATTTACCTATTTTTTGCTAATAGCATATTAGATGTATCTTATCTTTTTACTGGAGTATTTTGTTTGCATTTAATGTAATTAAACTTATTAGTTTATTTTATTTGCATTGCTGGGATCAAATCCAGGGCCTTGTGCATGCTAGGCAAACACTCTGCCACTGAGCTACATCTCCAGCTCTTATTATTTTTTTGAGGGGTTACTGGGGATTGAATTCAGGGGCATTTGACCACTGAGCCACATACCCAGTCCTATTTTGTATTTTATTTAGAGACAGGGTCTCACTGAGTTGCTTTGCACCTCACCATTGCTGAGGCTGGCTTTGAACTCATGATCCTCCTGTCTTAGCCCCCCAAGCTGTGGGGATTATAGGTATGTGCCACTGCACCCAGCTTTTTTTTTTTAATATTTGTTTTTTAGTTGTAGTTGGACACAATACTTCATTTTATTTTTTTATTTATATGTGGTGCTAAGGATCGAACCCAGGGCCTTGCACATGCTAGGCGAGTGCTCTACCGCTGACCCACAACCCCGGCCCCAGCTTATGTTTTTATTTTCCTTTTTTTTTTTTTTGAGATGGGGTGTCTCTGTTACCCAGGCTGGTCTTGAACTCCTGGGCTCAAGTAGTCCTCCTGCCTCTACTCCTGAACAGTAGGAATACAGGGGCACACCACTACACCTGCTTCTTTTTCTATCCTTTTTTTCATTCTTTTAGATTGAACAACTTTCGAAAAATCATTTCACTTCTCTTTCTACTAGTTCAAAAGTCACATACACACTATTCTTATTAGTGTGTGGAGTTAAAACCATTAAATCTCGGGCTGGGGCTGTAGCTCAGTGGTAGAGCACTTACCTTGCACGTGTGAGGCACTGGGTTCGATCCTCAGCACCTCATAAAAATGAATAAATAAAATAAAGTTATTTGTCCATGTTAAAAATAAAAAAACAAAAACAAAAACAAAAAAACCATTAAATCTCCTCCACAGCACAAGTCCTTGGGTGACTTTGCCTTCACTGACCTCCTTCATGGTTTCATACCTATTGTACATCATTTGTGGATTTTAACCCTACGTAGGCAGTATTCTTTTTGATTTTTTTTGTAGCTGGAAAGAGAAGGTAAATTTTAATAGCACTGAAATGGTGAGATCTACACAAGATAAAAAGAATCACTTGCCATTTCAAAGTACATGGTTCTGTGGATTTAAATATATCCACACTGTGCAACCATCACCACCATCAATCTCCAGAAATTTTACCTTCCCACACTGAAATTCTGTCCCCATTAAACACCAACTCCCCACTCCCCTGCCCAGCCCTGGGCATCCACCATTCTACCTTCTCTGTCTTTAAGTACTTGTACTTTATATTCATACAGGTGGAATCAAACCTTTATCCTTTTGTGAGTGGATTGCTTCACTTAGCAAAATGTCTCAAGGTTCATCTGTGTTATTCCATGTATGAGAACTTCCTCATTTTAAAAGGCTGAATAGCATTCCATTGTCTTTCCATTCATCATTCAGTGGACACATGAGTTGCTTCCATTCTTGGGCTATTGTGAACAATGCTGCTGTGAACACGTATGTTACAAATCTGTTCAAATTCTTGTTTTCCTTTTGCAGTACTAGGGACTGAACCCAAGGGCACTTTTCCAGAGCTGCAGCAGCAGAGGATGGAGGCAGGCTGATACTAAATGGCTGTGCCATTCTGTTTGCTTGGTTGTTAGAGCTTAGATGTGCTGATGGACATTAATACAAAGACCTGCATCCTGGTGCCAACTCCCATCCATGTGCCCCTTCCTTAGAAGTCTGCATCCTCTAACTTCCAGATCACCACTTCTAGGATCCTGACCAACAAACTAAGCCTCATATCTCTCCACACAAGGGAATGGCTGGGATCTCCCCCGGAGCTTTGCTAACTGGGGTCAGTCTCCTAACTACTGTCTTTCACTGCAGCTGCTCAATGGGTTTCAGCTCACCAGTATACTGAGCCCACTTTCCTTTGCTTCTTTCTTGTCAGTGTACCATGCCATTTGTATGAGCTGAGTGACACTGGACTGCGGTGGGTGACAAGAGGTCTAGACTACCTATTTCTGTACCTGCTTGAATCCGGTCTGGATCCAAAACTGTTTATGACTTGGTGGTCAAACTCAGCTTATGACAGATGGTTCTTGCCTCAGAGTTAGTTTTGGTGTTCCATAGAAAATTCCATTTCTATTGGAACMCAGCAGAATTCTAGAAGTTACTTTTTAAAGCTTCTTAACCTGTGGGTTTGTATCTTTAAATATTAATTCTTCCTTCCAGCTGCCATCACCATTTTCAGGGAATATGAGGATGAAGTGGTCCTAAAGATTCTGCAGTTCAATCTTTCCCAGATTCTTTTTGGTTTAATTTAGTTCTTCTCCTTGCCTTCAAGTTCAGGAATCTTTTGTGTCTAACCTATTAATCCCATCCATTGTATTTTTCACCTTTACATGTTTTTTGTTAAATGTCTCCACTCTCTAGTTTTTTTTTTTTTTAAAGAGAGAGTGAGAGAGAGAGAATTTTAATATTTATTTTTTAGTTCTTGGCGGACACAACATCTTTGTTGGTATGTGGTGCTGAGGATCGAACCCGGGCCGCACGCATGCGCGCTACCGTTTGAGCCACATCCCCAGCCCCACCCACTCTCTAGTTGACATACTTTCCAGTCTTCTGCCCCACCAGCTTTCCTTCAGCATCTCCTTTTTGTTGTTGCGGGGCTGGGGATGGAATCCAGGGCTTCACGGACGCCTGTCAAGCACTCTGCCACTGAGCCACATCCCAAACCCCTTCAGCGGGACCACTGCACTGGATGCTGAGGATTCGGAAGTGAAGAGACAGAACTGGGGTCCAGCCATCTGAGGACAGGCAGTAGGCAGAAGCAGGTGCCTAGAGTAGGGGCTGCTGGAGCTAATCCACGGCAGTTTCCCTGGCCCAGAGGCTCCGACGGGAGCAGAGGCCTGCGCTGGCTTTCTTTGGCTGTGCAGGGAACAAGAGCCCTGCCCAGCGGGGACTCGGACGAGACAGTAGGARTGGCAGTGTGCGGAAGGTGCCGTTCTGGTCACAGCGGCTGGACGGCCTGCCAATGGCCGCTGCAGGCTCATTTCCCGGTTCCGCGGAGGTGCCTGGCGCTTGGCATCCGCAACCAGCAGGCTTTCCAGTCGGCGCGACCTTATCGGGGCCCGCAGGCCACGCTGTCCCGACCCCACCCTGACTGCCAGCCAGGCCCCAAGCCTGCCTGGGGCCCGCCCGCCCGCGCTGCCGGGTACTGGGGCCCGCCTGCGCGTTGCGTAGCGGGGCCGCAGCAAGCCCCAGAAGCAGCCGCACAGTTGCCAGCGGCGGCGCCCCACGTTTCCGGGAAGCAGCCCCGAGGGGCCAGACCCCGCCCTCCCTACAGTCCGCGCGACCGGGCCTGCGCAGCTGGGCCGCAACCGCGAGGCCCCGCCTTCCCCAGGTGCCGCCCCCCGCGTCTCGCCAATAGGAGGGTGCGATGCTGGATGGTGGCGGCGCAGGCCGGGCCAATGGAGAGGCGCGTCATTGAGATGCGGCGCCGCAGGCCGCACCCAATTCGGGCGGCGGGGGCGAGCGAGGGCGGCGGGGCCGGGTGGGCCGCAGCCGCCAGGGTGCGCGCGGCGGGCGGGGGTAGAGCCGGAGCCCCAGCCCCAGCGGAGCCCGCAGGCGGAGGTGGCACTCGCGCTGAGAGGCTGCTCGTTGCTCTCGATTCTCTGTGGAGGTGAGGCGGGTGGACGGGCGCAGGCCTCCGCAGCAGCTGACCCGTCGCTGCGGGCTTCTCGGTGCGGCAGCGCGGGCCACGGGCCTCGGGCACGGTGGGGCGGGTCCCGCCGACGTCTGGCGGCTGCGGGCCTGGCGGACGGAGGCCGCGGGGAGCGGGAAGCGGGTCGCCGGCGGCCGCGGCGGGGACGGCCTTCTGGTGGTCTTCCTGCGCTCTCCCGCCTTAGCCTTCCCTGCGTTTTGGGAAGAGCCAGAGGACCTCTCCCTGTCGTTATTTTCATTTTTGTTCTTGTCACTCGTAGCCGAAGGTGTCTGGTAGGTGATTTGAGTAGTTTATGCAGACGCACCTTGGGATGAATGTTTTGGTTCGCCCGAAACTGCTGTTGGCTTGACCGTGCGATTTCTTGCCTAAAATGACCTAAAGCAATTGCCATCTCCCAAAGGCCTTTGAACAGCTGCTGATAGCTGTGTGCGTTGCAGGTGAGTTTTGTCGAGAGATTTTTGTGTGTCGAAAACTGATTGCCGTCTTCGTGGGGATGGGAAATCGAATGTTGAAAGATCCAGTTCGTCTCCTTTGCAAAACAYGTGTGAAAAGGAGCCTTCAGCGCGCCCCGGAGAGGGGAGGCCATTTCAGGCCGAGGGTGGACTTCAGTACGGGGTGGGCTTATARCAGTGCAGCCTTCAATCTCTGGAGAAAGCCAGTGGTGTAGAGTATCTTTAGATACAAATTTTGGATAATTCTCTTTAGTTCTTTCTGGGAAACTAGAATAATATAGTTATTTTTTAAGGAAATGAATGGTTTTGTCAGTCAGAATTGCTTCTCAGAGTTTTGGTGTGTTTACCCCGGCATCATCCGGTAGTTTACTACTTTGTATTGTGTAGCTTCTAGAGTTTCAGAGACTCAGAGTCTGTGAATGACCTGAATCTAAATCCAAATTCTACTCAGTCTCCAAACTGCGATAGTTTCTTTAAAAAAAGTGTGGGCGTGCAGCTTTTGCCTTGCCCCTGAGAGGCAACCCTGTACCACCCAGCTACATCCCCGGCCTCTGCTGCTTATATTATACAGGCTGATACTTTCTTGCTTTAACTTTTGTGATGTAATCTGATTCTGATAAGGTTTTGTTTAATGTTTAATTTGTTTTGATTYTACCATAAAAGATGCTTTTTTCTTTAATTTTTATTTTTTTTGCAGTAGTACACGGACAGAATGCCCTGTTTGTTTGTTTGTTTATTCATTTATTTATTTATAGGTGGTGCTTAGGATTGAACCCAGTGCCTCACACTTGCTAGGCCAGCGCTCCACCTCTGAGCCACAGCCCCAATCCCCAAAGCTGTTTTTTTAATGCTATTGTTTTTAGTTCTTGTATGTAGTCGTTATAGTGATCAGGAAAGTAAATATTAAAATACTTCAAAAGATACCGTTATTTTTATTATATAAAACTCTGAGTTTGATTGCCTTTCTTCCTCCTTTCCATGTTGAACTCTTCACACACACACACATTGAGAGAATAGCAGAGTTCCTGTTTACTCTCATTTAGTTTCAACAATTATTAGCTCATAGCAAGTGTTTTTTTTTTCCATCTGACCCTTCAATCCCAGATGTTATATCTTTTTTTTTTTTTTTTTGAGGGGGGGGGCAGGTAACTGGGGATTGAACCTAGTGTTGCTTTACCACTGAGCTACATCCCCAGCCCTTTATATTTTTTTATCTTGAAATATAGCCTTGCTTAATTTCTGGGGCTGGCCTTGAACATATAATCTTCCTTCCTGCTTCAGCCTCCAAAGTCACTGGGATTACAGGATGCACCAGAGCGCCTGGCCAGATATCATATCATTTTAACTATTAAGTGTTTCRGTATGTGTATCTTAAACAATAGGACTTTTTAAAAAGGTAAACATGAATACCAGTATTAGAAAAAAGGAGTTTCTTTAATACCTTCAAATATCCAACTACTGTTAACATTTTGATTGTCTCATAATTTTTTTAAATAGTTTTGAGCTAGGATGCCAATGTCCCCATACCATTGTAACTTGTTTTAATCTATAGGCTTCCCCTCTATCATCATCAACATCTTTTTTTTTTTTTTTWTTTGTTGATGAAACCTGACCTGGTAGTTTGTTCTGTGGAGTAATCCGGACTTCAGTCTGTACTATTTTTTAACAATACAGAATTTGCTGTAAACTGATGGCTAGATAGAAAGGTCTTATCAGATCCAGGTTTGATTTATTCTTTCAAGATGACTTTTAGGTAGGTAAACAGATAATGGTGCATAATCTGGTTAGCAGCCCTTGCTGCTTGGTGTGCCTAGAGTCATTAAGCTTTGAAAAATATTGATGTTTTAATTCTGTAACCTCATCAGTGATTAATTGGAATACTTGTTTTTTTGAAAAAAATATTTTTAGTTGTAGATGGACACAATACTTTTATTTATTTTTATATAGTGCTGAGGATGGAACCCAGTGCCTTCCACATGTGAGGCGAGTGCTCCACCACTGAGCTGAAACCCAGCCCCTAAATGGAATACTTCTATAGAGAAATTTTCCTTCATTCACTATTTGATTACCTTTGAAAAACACCCCGATTATGAAAGACCCCCCGTTTCCCTGTCCAAGGAGAATCACACGAAACACTGGCTGCAAAAGCACGAGGTGGTTTATTGAGACACAGGCGCCTGCGGGTGCCCAGCAGAACCTCAGCCGGAGCTTTGGTGAACTGGCACACCGGGCTTGGGGATACAGAGATTTTTATAGGGTTTGGGGCAGGTTTCTTATTGGTTTGTTTAAATCTAGCATATAGGCCACCTAGGGGGTACAGGTCTGTATTCTAAAAACCACAGGTCTGCATTCTATTCTTTCTGTTCCTGCTTATCTGTTCCTGTTTATTCATTCATGCCTCAGGATGTGGGTGCTCTGTCCTAACGCCTGAGCCTGTTTGTGACAAGCCCAGTATCTTGATTTCATCTCTTGGCCTTAGGTAACTGGGCTAACTGGGCTAGGGTCTTTCACCTTGAAGTATATTTCTTCTAGAAAAGGCAGGACAAATGCTTAATTCCTATTATTTTCTAGTTTTCAAAATTAAAGAGTTTTGATTCTCTAATATCCTTTAAAAGTCGCCTGTGAATTGTATCTATGTGTTTGTCCTTGTGAACTCAGGAGCTTAAATGTATTTTTCTTTTTTTGGTACTGGGGCTATGTTCCCAGGTAGGAGGATGGCAAGTTTGAGACTAACCTCAGCAATTTAGTGAGGCCCTAAGGACTTAACCAGACCCTGTTTCAAAATAAAACAGGGGTGTTACTCAGTGGTAAAGCGCTTGCTTAGAACATGTGTGCAAGGCCCTAGGTTCAATCCCCCGCRCAACAAGGAAAGAAAAGTTAGTGTATATGAAACGTAAATAAGTTATATGTTTATACTTGGGTTCCATCCATAGATATTTCACTATGTACATGCAAATACCCTAAAATCTGAAAAAATCCCAGACACTTTTGGTCTTATGTCATTTCAGATGAGAAATACTCAATCTGTGTTCAGAAACAACAGTTCAGGCCTTTGGGCTGCTTACTGTACTAGGTTAATCATTGTTTCTAGATCCTTTTAGTGAGCTGGTTGTATGTTACAGATACTTTTGGTGCCAAAGTATGAATTGTGTTCTACTTAACCTCAGCCTTATACCTGAACCTTTTTTCCTTCTAAGCCAAACATTTTGTTTCTTCTTATTCAATCATTTTAGCCTGCACTGTACAATTTATCTCAGAAGACTGTCAACACAAGCACCAATGAAACTGTTAAAGAATTTTTTGTGCCCTTGTTAGGTCTCTCTAGTCAAATTCTGTTTTAAAGTCATTTAGAAGAGTTACTATGTGGTTTTGCCATCACTGTATGTATAGTTTAGTTCTATAGTTTGGTTTTTATTTTGCCGTCACTATTTAAAAATTGCTTTTTAAAAATTTAATTTTGAGGGCTAGGGCTGGGGCTCAGCRGTAGAGCCCTTGCCTAGCATGTGTGAGGCCCTGGGTTCCATCCTCAGCACCACATAAAAATAAATAAACAAAATAAAGGTATTGTGTCCAACTAAAACTAAAAAGTRAATTTTTTTAAAAAAACTTAATTTTGATAGGGCATGGTGGCACATGCTTGTAATCCCAGTGACTCTGAAGGCAGAGAGAGGATTGCAAGGTTGAGGCCAATTTCAGCAAYTTAGCGAAGCTGTCAGCAACTTAATGTCTCAAAATAAAAAGGGCTGGGGGTGTGGCTCAGTAGGTAAACGCCCCTGGGTTCAATCCCCAGTACCTCCCTTCCCAAATAAAAAGTTTTATAATTAAAAGGCTTTCAAAGTCAAACCCGTAAAACAAGTATAGTTGAACCTCTGTCTCCTTCATCTTATTCCTTCCTTTCCCCTTACATATTCTTTCCAACTTGTATTTTGGACCTGAGATCCAACTCAGGGGTGTTCTAACACTTGTAGGTGGACATAATGCCTTTATTTATTTATCTTTATGTGGTGCTGAGAATCTAACTCTGGGCCTCACCTGTGCTAGGTGAGTGCTCTAGCACTGAGCCGCCACCCTCCCAGCCATCCCCCCCAGCCCTTTTTAATTTGCATTTTGAGATAGAGTCTGGCTAAGTTGCTGAGGCTGGCTTTGAACTTGTGATCCTCCTGTCTCAGCCTCCCAGGCTGCTGGGATTCAGCCATGTACCACCACACCTGGCAAGTTATAACTGCCTTTTTTTTTTTTCGAACCAGGGATTGAACTCAGGGGCACTTGACCATTAAGCCATATCCCTAGTCCTATTTTGTATTTTATTTAGAGACAGAGTCTCACTGAGTTGCTCAGTGCCTCACTTTTTGCAGAGGCTGGCTTTGAACTCAAGATCCTCCTGCCTCAGTCTCCCAAGCTGCTGAGATTACAGGCGTGTGCCACTATGCTTGGCTAAGATATAACTGCTTTTTAAGGAACATTTAACACAAACATCTTGCCTGGTAATGCTCTTTTTTTAAAAAA